TTTTGGAAAGGTGAGCTTGTCCTGGCCAGATAACAACACCTGCCATTTTTAATTTTTTATGTTCATTTTTAGATAGTTACACATCTTTAACCTTTTCAACCCAATATATACCCGAGCAGCCAGTATACCAGCCGTTACTAAGTGACGTCATACAGTGTTAACGTCATACGCTCTTACTTTTATTACTTGGAGTTCAGGGTATATGATGTTATATTTCATTTACACTCAGGCTTCAAAGGGTTAAGTAAAGTTGTTAAACTTATGAGAAAATCTTGTGAATTAAAAAATAATACAAATGAGATTTATCTCATTGTTGTAAATTATGACTAAGTTTTTACAGATTAACAAAATAAAAGTAAAATACGAAAACTGCAGCAGTTAATTCGACTAATTTGAAAGATCTCTATCTGAAATCAACCACATGAATCTTCATAAAGTTAATCATGTGGAAAAAAGATTATAAAATACATCATGTGGAAAAACATAAAATAAAACTTGTGATATTGTTCTTATTAACTGATTGTGGTTAGGAAATTAAAGGGTGATTCATGAACATTTTACATTTTTTTTATGTACCCTTATGTAAACAATGATGATTGTGTTTTGTCTTTGAAATTGCATGTAGATAGGAGAATTATAGCGTTTTTGCTAAAAAAAAAATTATAAAAGATTTATTAAAGGAATTTCTTAACCTTTTATGTGTATCAGGAACACTGATAGCATCAATTTGCTCTATTGCAATTTTTCAGTCAGATGTCTGTGGGTCTTGCAATTTCTCAAAAACAAAACAATAAGTGATGTCAATTAAGCATTTCTATAATTACAGGAACCAGACATCTGATATAAATTAAAAATGATGCACATTAAAATGTAAAAACCTCTTAACAATCTCTTTAATCCAGGAAATAATTAATGAAATAATGCAATTAAAAAGGTGATATTAATTAAGAAAATGGTGTAATTAAAGAATATAGCCTTTTTTTTTATCCTAGCTTAGTTTATAATTACTATTATTGGTTAGAAATCAGTGTTGAGAAGTTGTTTGTCATCTATCATAATAATGAAAGACGTTTGTCATGGCCATCCATCAATATATCTGTCCCCTAACCTCTCTCTCCTTACCTCACTATACCTGGTTGTTCTAGGCAGATACTATACTTTATTATTCAATTATTAATATTAATGACTTGTAATTATTAATTAATTAATACCCCTGATCTTTAATATACTTTCTATTCTTAATTCTTGTCATTTTCAACTTTGTCCTCCGAACAACAATCATCTTTTCTTCATTGGTCATGTTCTGGTAGGTCTATTTTTTACTTTTTTAATTTTGTTAACATTTTGGATTTATTTTGTGATGGAAACTTATTTTATATAAAGCGATTACAATTTAACATCAAGGTTTGTGATTTTTTGTTATTTCATTACTGTGTAAGGTTAGTGCCCATATTTTAAAATACCAGGCAAAGTACCATTATTAAATAGATTCAAATACCAGGCAAAGTACCATTATTAAATAGATTCAAATACCAGGCAAAGTACCATTATTAAATAGATTCAAATACCAGACAAAGTACCATTATGAAATAGATTCAAATACCAGGCAAAGTACCATTATTAAATAGATTCAAATACCAAAGTACCATTATTAAATAGATTCAAATACCAAAGTACCATTATTAAATAGATTCAAATACCAAAGTACCATTATTAAATAGATTCAAATACCGATACCAGACACAGTAGGCCTACCATTAAGAGATTCAAATACCAGTCAAAGTACTTTCTAATCTCAGTTTCAGTCATGAAATATTTTCTGAAGTAATACAAGCGTTATTAAAATCGTGTAATATTAGTCAAAGACAATCTGAATGTGATATCTGCTTGCCATATTTTCCTGTTCAAGGTCAAAGATCAAGAACGTTCTTATCAAACTGTTAACTCGCGTGTCACATAACCCTCTCAAGTTGGCCAAATATAGTCCATATGCTTCACACTTGCGCTATTTGGTAAGCTATTTGGTAAGCATTATAGATTGAGATCCCCAGAGAAATGATGGTTTTCCTGTATACATACCACATTTTACTGTTTTAATTTTGGCTGAGTTTTTTTTTCAAACCTTTCATGCTGCTTTATATTGAAAAATACTTTTTTAAAGGATTCTTTTTTTCAATGTTTTTTTTTTTAAAAAAAGAAATATGCTTCCACCCAATTTCCAAAGTTGATAATAATAAGTAGAAAATTGTTATCTACTATGTTTAGTTGGCATAGTTACAATCAATTAAACTATTAGAAATACAATTATGAAATTACAAGGATAGAAATAGAATATTTTTGAGTACCAACAATGCTTGAAGTTGAATCTTGGCAAATTGGAAATTTTTTCATATGACCCTTTTTATAGCCTTGACTTTCAGATTTCACATGGTCAGGTGTGTTCGATATTCAGTTCAGTGGTTTGTTCTCAAAAAGCGATTTTAGTGAGAGAACACTACTTGTATAGATCTGCTCCAGTGGCGTTTGGTGTTTGAGCCAGCAGACATGTAACTGCTCCAGTGGTGTTTGGTGTTTGAGCCGGCAGACACATAACTGCTCAGTGGTGTTTGGTGTTTGAGCCGGCAGACACATAACTGCTCCAGTGGTGTTTGAGCCGGCAGACACATAAATGCTCCAGTGGTGTTTGGTGTTTGAGCCGGCAGACACATAACTGCTCCCATGGCGTTTGAGCCAGCATGCACATGCTTATAGTATAGGTATTGCTTTATCATATATTTCATCGTGTGACACGTTAATAAACATTTCTTCTTCTTCTTTATCATGTGAAATTAATGTGTTGAAAATAATTATTTAGATATACTTTGTAATTAATAAAAAATTATCTTGAAATAACAACTGAGTACTTTTCTCATCTACTTTTCTTTACATGTTAAAATCAGTAATTAGAGATAAATTGAAATTTGAATTTAAATGATGTTGGTGATTACAAGAACAAATAGTAAATTTCTTTGAAGAATATCTAATAAAGATAAGAAAAGACAAGCTAAAAACAATCCAGTGATTTAATATGATAGTATTTTATAGCAACCTTTTTCTAAATTTTTGTTGAAGTTGAGTATATATTGTCTTATTTTCCTAATTCAATCCATTTGAAAGATTAATAGACCCTATGTGAATTATACAGCAAGATAACTTACAAAAGAGACAAAAAGATATGATTTTTGGCATTATTATAACATAAGGGTTTGGCATTATTATAACATAAGGGTTTGGCATTATTATGATATAAGGTTTTGGCATTATTATAATATAAGGTCTTGGCATAAGGTCTTGGCATTATTATAATATAAGGTTTTGGCATTATTAAAATATAAGGTTTTGGAATTATAATATAAGGTCTTTGCATTATTATAATATAAGGTTTTGGCATTATATTATAATATAAGGTCTTGGCATTATTAAAATATAAGGTGTTGGCTTTATTATATTTTAAGGTCTTGGAATTATTAGTATGATATAAGGTTTTGGCATTATTATAATATAAGTTTTTGGCATTATTATAATATAAGGTAGACCTAGTATATGGTAGTATTACAACTGTTGGCTATTAATCAACCAAACTTGTATCATAGACAGCAGAAACATGTCATCCTGCAGAAGTTTTATTATTTGTGAAAATTAGCATGAAATGTTAAAAATGCAGGCGACGCTTATCTGATGAGATCTACTTTTGTTTCTGTATAAAAAATGGATACGATTATTTTCTTTATGATGAAATGTTTTACAGCAGTGTTCATTTTGATATGTTTGCGACTTTTGTCAAAAATATTTGAAAAATAATGGCCCTATAGATTTGAGGCAGTGTGGAATATTAAACATATTTTACAAGATAAATATCTTTCTTTGTCCCAACACTCTTCTCCTTAAAGATAAGTTTGGCATTATTGACACTTCAGCCAGAGTCAGCCAGTTTGTGTGGAATTACTGTTATATTGTAATATGCATATTTTGCCAAGTGCATTGCAGTTTTCAACAATACCTCATTCTATTTTGAAATAGACTTTATGACTTAAAACTTAAGATTCTTTTAACTCTTCTGATATTTTTTATGACAATTGTTTTAGCAGTTGATAGATAGCTATGATTTGCTTTATGGTATTTAATGTGTATGTTTAGAGAGAGATATAGAGTTGAACAATGCCAAAATAAAACAATACTTCATATTCAAGATCTTAAACATCAAAAACACAGAACAATAAACTTATAAAAGATGTGATGTATATTAAAAGAACAAAGGCATTGTTATATTTATTGTCTTCTGCACTTTTTGATGTTGTCTGCTAAGGTTTTTGATGTTTTCTGTAGTTTGAAAACAGTTGGTAAGATTATGTAATTGATAGTTCCTCTAAGGTTTATTTGGCGCTCAATTTGGCAAATATATAAGTCTCTGTTACAGACTTCAAAAAACCTGGAATTGGTTTATTCTTTTATTCTTTTGTCTGTTGGTCCTGTTAGGCTCTTTCTTTTCTGCTTGTTTTTCTCTGGTCTTTATTTATTCATTCTGTTGAGTTATAAACAATTCTTATTTCATATGATCTTGATAATATCAAAGAAAGCACACTCTTTTGAGCTCACCCAGTTTTAACAGACAAGTATTTCAAACGTTTCAACCTTCTTTTGTTTTCGGTAATGTATCTCGACTTTCGAAAACAGAAACAAGTTTTTAGAATAATTGAAGAAATGAACAAAAAAATTTGGACAAGAAAAAAGAATGATTTGATTAATAATATTGAATAAGTGAAGTTTTTAGTACTTCTGTTATTGATATTTAGTGAGATATAATCTATGGATTTGGATTAAATTCTCAGATATCGGTGCACACATTGTAGTTTTTGTGCATCAATTCCATTTAAATTGCACGTTGATAGACAAAATCAGCAATAACTGCGTGTTCTGCAATTCCAGTGAATTGTAAAATTGAATTGATTTTGGTTTTTCAGAGGTTAGTGCCAAACTAATTTGGACCTCTCACTAATGCATATTACCCTTAATGGTTCTCTCCTACATGAGATTTCCATTTTCTTTGTGATTTTTATTTCATCCTTTCTCTTCTATGATTGTCACAAATTCATGATTTCGCATGGTACGTCTTGTGATAATGTTTGAATATTTTGCTAGGGATATTGCTGAAATGAGCTTTTGTTGTCCAGGACTATTGATATCTGGTTCTATAGCGCGAAGTTGTTGATTTGGAGCCATTGTAGGCCAAACAGTAATTAAAGTTACTCTTCATGCCATTGTTGAGTTCTTCCCAATTTCTAAAGCTTTCTTAACCAAATGCAGAAACTTGTCAGAAGTTCACTGGTTTACTTGATATTCTTTGATTGGAGTGAAAACAAAAAGATATCTTTTGCTTGATTTTTACCAACACTCACGAAACTACAATAGAGACTTAATTACATTGGACGAAACCTTCTGACAACAACAAACATCACTTGTCAATATCGACATTTCTTAACTCGGAATAATCTTTATTTAGTTATTGTTCAAGTCTTTTCAATAATAGCTGGTGGAATTATTCCAATTTATTTACTCAACTCTAAAAATATTACTTGCTTAATTTGTGGCCAATTCTATTATGTTTTCGGCACATCACTTCTGGATTGTTGTAATTTTGACAGAAGGAGGAAATGTAGCCTGTCAAAATGGGTGGAAATAATTGCAATTTGCTTTCAAAATTTAAACTGCAGAAACAGCCATTCAGAAAATTAGTTAAATTTATTGCATTTAGGCTGTCAGTCAATTTGAACATATTTCAAGGATTTTGCAATTGTTATCCAATAGAAATAGGTGCTGTAAGATAAATCATGAATATTATATATTTGTTATTTAAGTTCAGTGTTTTTGTGGGAAAAATAAAATTCAATTTCAATGTTTAAATATCTTTTACAGCTCATATCACCGGTCTAGTATTTGTATTAAATATTAATTTCATGTTTTTCTGTCTTTCAGGACTATGTCTTCTAAGAGAAAGAACACCCCTACAAAGCTTGCCAAAGATAATGTTGATCTTGACACAGGAAGTAGTTTCGGTGACCTTGAACCAGTAGATATTTCAGAGAGATCAGTAGACGTCAATCAGCTCTATCCATCTCCCTATAATCACCTTGATCAATACGATTCTGATAGCCACAGTGGTTCAGAGAAACCAGCCAATAAGAAGCAAAGGCTTCTACAGAGTGTTCAGAACGATTCATGTTCGGATTCAGACAGTGATAACAAATATAATCACAAATCATTAAACAATAACAATATCACGACAAAGTCCACAATTGGACCACATAGAAAATCCATGGAAAGTGTTTTACGCAAGCTGCATCCACGATCTCTCGATATGGAAGGCTCAGACAATGTGACATCATCTCCCAAGGGAGAGAACACTGTGATAGATCATGTACAACACTTACTTCAGCAAGGTGCTGGTGTCAAAGATAAAGAACAAAGACTCAGTGAAATGATCTCACAATTACAAAATATTAAAGAAAATCTTCAAAAACAAAAGGTTAGTACAGATTTTACTTAAGACTCATCAAAGTCAGATGACCTTGATTAAGTCATCTTCATTCATAATTCCAGTCAACTCAGCTGTAAATGGGTACTGATAATCTCGAACAGATCAATGCCAAGAGGTTTGGCCAAAGACCAGTTTGTTGAAAGGATCCTTAACTGTGAACATAAATTGTTGTTGTTGAATGCGTCATGATTATGATCAGTAATGATTTTCAAAACTCTTGTCAGACACAAGTTAGCAATTTCTTAATTCGGTCAAGATAATTCAATCAACTGAGGTCTTGTCTGCCACAAACTGGGCAAGGTAAAGATCTCTTGACAGTTGGAAATTGTTAAAGAGTATAACCTTCCCTCATTGTACACTGCATGACATTGTTGATCTTCTGAAGCAGAAAAGTTGGATGTAAATTCAATTTGACTGTTTTTGTCAATTTTTATGGATTTTTGTGAAAATATATCAAATTTTCGAACATAGCGAAAACTTATAAAATTTGATAAATTGTTAATTTGAAGCCTTAAGATTTTTATGGTCATTGAGAAGCAAACTCAAGACTGTTACACACTGGTAGTAGTGGTTAAAAAATATAAAGTGTATTATAGTAAGAGTTGTATTTACTATAGACATCTGAATGAGAGGCAATCAACGTGTTTCCTGTATTACTTTATTCTACGGAAATCTATATTAGTATTAATTATACTTCATACTTATTATTTCTTTATTCAAATACTACTCATTACATTCATTAAGTTTACACTTTAAGTTTTCAAGGTTGAATTATAAATGTGTGCTTTCTTACTACAGTACCTTTCTATCATGGAGCAATGGCCTTAAAATTGAAACAGTGTCTCGGTAAACGTAAGGAATTGAACTTGGCTCTGCTCAACAACTAGGGAGTTTACCAAGGTGGCTCTGGTGATCTTTTTCTCATTATCAACTGGATGAAAACAAAACCTGTGAAGACTCCATGCTTTCTAAAGGTGTGGGCACACGAGCGGTCATGGTCAAAGATTTTTGTCTTCGACTCGAATTTGAGTAAAATCTCGAGTGTGCCCGTGCTTCCACAACAAGATTATCAACAAGGATACTAGAGATAGACTGGAGATATTTGTCTCCTCATGTGCCTGTGCCAGTCGTTGAAACTCAAGACAAGAGTCTAATCAGAAACAAAAATCTCTAACCAAGACCGCACGTGTGCCCGCACCTTAAAGTGAGGAGTTTTTTGGTAACTGAGGCAGCTCATTGCTTAATTGGGAACAGGGAACATACAAGGTAGCTGCCATGAGTTTGGTTCGAGGTAGCTGAACTGGCGCATTGCTTACCGACTCCAAAAGCTTTCTAGTAGTTCTAGTTGCTCAACAAGACCTTTGTTTATAAATCTACTAAAATGCTGGTGTTGATCAAGAATTAGCTTTTATAAATTTTTGAACTTGCATGGTCATGCATACATGTCCATGTAACAGTCAAATATTAAATCTCATGGCAAAAGACAGTTTTGAATGTGATAAAAAAATTTAAAAATAAATCTAAAGGTGATTTGGCAGGTTACATTGTATTGGTTAAAGGCTATAGAGTTATCACATTTTCACTGAATGATTCCCACCAGAAAGTTTGAATTCAGAGAGTATAATTAGAATAATTAAGAACATCTGACTGTGAAGTAATTTTCAGGGTGAAATGTTCTTTCATTAATTCCTACACCTTTACTCATTGTACAGTTTACAATCTAGATAGCTACTAGTACCACACAGTGTGAAAGTCAACCAAAATATACTGCTATCTTCAGATAGGTGTTGGCTGGAATGGTCCAGGTCTTAAATCAGATGGCACTCAAAGATTGTCAGATCAGTTGCCAAGATTTGGGCCATTTACATGATAACTACCAGTAAGCAATTGATATTGAACCTTTTCTGTATAAGAAATAATTTTAAATAATTAGGAAGTTAATATTGCCTCAGAACAGAATATTGCAAACTTGCTATAGGCAAGTTGAAGTGATTTTGCACATAATCTCATGTTTTTTTTTTTTTTGGCCTGGTTTGCCACTATCTTATAATTTACTGGTATCTCATGGTTTGATTGTTTACCACTATCTTTTGATTGTTGGCCACTATCTCATTTGTCTGTTTGCCACTATCTCATGATTTGTCTGTTGGCCACTATCTAAAGATTTGTCTGTTGGCCATTATTTTGAGATTTCTCTGTTTGCCACTATATCATGGTTTGTCTGTTTGCCACTATATCATGATTTGTCTGTTGGCCATTATTTTGAGATTTCTCTGTTTGCCACTATATCATGGTTTGTCTGTTTGCCACTATATCATGGTTTGTCTGTTTGCCACTATATCATGATTTGTCTGCTGGCCACTATCTCAAGATTTGTCTGTTGGCCACTATATCATGATTTGTCTGCTGGCCACTATCTCAAGATTTGTCTGTTGGCCATGATCTTATGATTTGCATGGAACTCCTAGAAATTTCAAGAACTTGCTCAGAAAGAAGATATTCACAAACACTGTATTCTGTTTTTGGTTCATTTGACCTCTTACTCATAATTACATCAAAGATACTGCAATAAAATGAAATCTGGTGAAAGCTAATTTTAAAATAAACAGTAGAAATTCTGAAATAGCTTAAATAAACCTTTGACTTTATTCCTCCATTATTTAAATTTGTTATCTAGTAAATTCAGGTAATGGCTGACCTCTCTACTGTGTTATCTTAACCAATGTAAGACAGAAGTGTTTGGAGCCATGTGCTGGTAGAGGCCATCTCAAATTTGATAGCACCAGATTTAAGTAGCTTTCCCATCTTTCAACAAGTCTCATTCATAAAGTAGAGGCTAGCCTCCTGCAAAAAATACTCCAGTTATGTAATATAAATAGAGAACAATTAGTAAAATCATCTGTCTGTTTCTATAACACCATGCCATTGTTTACAGAAATGGCGTACATGATGATGAGCAGAAACGAGCCATTCAAATGATGAATCACTTCTCAGTTTTTCTATTAAACTTTATATATTTCATAAATATTATATTATCCTATCATTGTAGACAAGCATTACGCCTGCCATTCCTGCCCTAAAAAGATTAAATAAAGAGAATACGCATTAAGAATGGACTGCAGAAAGCAGACAGCCTCAAAAAAAACATGCAGATAATTCATTTCAAGACATGTAGATTAGTTTCATGTGTATTTACTGATAAATGCTTTTATAGTTGGTGATTTGTGAAAGAGGAGAAAGAGATCAGTGAATAATATCCCATTTTAGGCGCCTATCTTTCCTTCTATCTATACATTATGTAATGGAGGCCATAACAAAGAATTTGACCTGTACATAAACAAAACTTTTTTCATTTCACTTAGTTTATTTTCTTAGGATTTATCAGTATTTATGAAAACAATAGTTGAAATAGAGGATATGATGGAGACAGGTGCCATGGGGCCTAGCTATTAAGAGAATGGAAGATGTCTTATATTAGCTTATCATTTGTTTAAACCATGGGTGACATGTTTTAACTTATCAGATATGTTTTTCACTGCGGATTGACAATGGAATATCAGCTAGTTTCATGTTTAAAAGTTTGGTGATGAAAAATGAGATTTTAGAAGAAAATCATAACATTTCTGATATAAATGCATTTTAATTGACAAGTTCATGTATGTTATTGTTTTCATGATAGAAGAAACCTGTTCTATTTTATACATGCCAACATTGGTTCACATGAAAAAAATATATTATATTTTCACATCTCTTTGACACTAAGCAGGATTAAGTTTAGACATTAAGAAAAAGTTCATCTTTGATTCAGTGATTATAACTTAATCTTATTTTCTGGATTTCTGACATTTGTACAATGTTTGCTATTGGCTTGACTTTTGCATTAAGCTTTTCAGTATAGCATTATTTCAAGGAAAAAGCTGAAAATTAAAGGGAAACTTTGTGCCTGCTTCTGGTAGTTTGCATTGATATTTTGAAGAGAATTTACATTAATGTCAAAAAAGGATTTCTGATCTTCATTTGGTTATACCTTTTTTCTAAAAAATTTATTTTCTTTGCCGTGTAACATACAGTTTTAACTTTGCTTTTTGACCATATTATAGTAAAATATACCATGAAAACTGGCACATATTCCCACTTATTGGTGTATTGACATATATAAATAGAATAAATTCAAAGGGAATGTAGTAACTGAATTTTCTGAAACTAAGGCGTATATTTTGTAACTAAATATGATTTTATTTCTATTTTTACAAGTTATCAAATTGATAATTATCAAAGGCAACATATTTGCATAAAGTCAAACAGCAGAAAGATAAATAATTTTTAATTGCATGAAGACAGAAACATTTATTATTTCTGTAGAAGTTATTCTCACCAAAAACAAATCTTAGTGTTTATGATTTACGCTATTTTCAACAATTTTCTTGTCTGTCTTCACATTAAATCCTGTGTTTTCTTTTTTACCATTTTCCAGATGGTTTACGATAATTTCATAATTATATTATTTATTTTCCTAAACTAGATAGGCGTCTGTTTTCCTTTAAATAATGTGCTGAAGAAAACAATAATACTGTCTTGTCGTTCTTGTGAAATAAAAATGACATGTAATTTTATCTGATGAAAGATAATAATTCTATGCCCTTGGTTTTTTTCGAGATGAACCATAACCAACAATTTGACTGTATATTAGCATCAGAACTGATAAAATATTTTAAAACAATCCCTTTCTTGTCTCGAGTTGTCATTGTTTTCTCATTTCCATTTTTATTCCCTTATCAAAAATCACATTCTAGAAAGTTGGAATTGTTTCTTTTTCCTTTGAAACTGAGAAGTTTAAAATGGTGTCTTTCTTATTCCAGTTGTCATTTCATTTTGGCTAAAAAAGTTATCTTTAAATTTAATGCTTTTAAATTGTTATTCCTGCTTTCATGAGATAATGTGTGTGAAGAAAAGAGCCATCACAAAAAAGAGATCTGTATTTTAGAAACAGAATAAATCGGCAATTATTTATTGTTATAAATTTTCCAGCCGACTGAAAGCAATAAAACTTTTCACGACTTTTTATTTGCAAAATAGAATAAGTGAGTTTTTTTTTTTCAAACGAAAATAACACGAAGTTTATGTGGCAAGCATTTAGATAGAACTAGAAATGTGTTTTAAGCCATGACAATTGCAACAAGTACATGTAAAGACAGGATTTGATGGTTGGAATGAAATTGGCTGGATTGCGTTAAAAAGTCATTATCTACAAGTTCCATGTATAGTCTGTCTTTCACCAATTATTTCTCTATTCAATATTTCAACTGTTGCATTTGTGTGAATTGATGAGAGAATGGTTGGTGGACAGACTAATGGAATATCAGAGAAAGATTCACGAATTGTCCATTGTTGCAGACAGACATTGAAAAGCAGCCCACGGACCTATTTCCTGATCACAATTTCTCTTTATCTCTTGTCTTGGAAGTACATTTTCTTGTTGTAATTCAATGTGTAGGGAATGAATTTAGAATTTTTCTGTATTCTAAAGAATAAATCAATTTGTATCTGTTACAAAATTTGGTACACTGCTAATCTGAATAATGGTGGCTCATGATCTTTAAATTACTGAATGTGGTGGTATTTAATTCAAGGTTCTTGAATCAAGTATAGTTGTCAAATAGACATTCTTGGCAATTTTAAAAGGGATTATAAAAAATTTGAAGAAATTGTATGGGAGACTTGCAATGGTTCAAGTTGCAGATATACTTTTTCAGGATTTAGCAATGACCCTTTTCTTGTATTAAACTCATATCCTAAAAATGAACCAAAAAGCATGCTGATACTACCTGATGCTTTACCTCAATTACTCATTATGGTTGAGTTCCATAATCATTTTATAACAGTAACAATAATGCTTTTGTACATTTGAAAAATCATATTCCCTTTCATATGATCATATAATATTTTTTTTATCTATTCCAGGCGCCAGCTGAATCCACAAATCCTTCTACTAATAATAGTAACAAATATCAAGAATCAGGTATGTTTCCTTTTATTAGTACTGTCCTTCACTTAAAGTACAAATTTGTTTTTTTCGAAGATTCTCCAAAATAGAACAACAAAATTAAGATAATATATAGGTCTGAATAAAAAAATGGAGACCCATTTAATGTGTAATATGATAAATACATAGATATAAATATAGATTTAATGAAAAAAATAAAATAATGTTGAATTTTGACACCTACATGTACCATATTCTGAGCCAAAAACAACCATATTTTATCAGATTTTTGATTTTTAATGCTCTTAAAACATGGATGGCATGATTTTAAAAGATGATAAATAAAGTTGAACTTGCCATGCAGATGTGATTATTTATCTTCATATAGAAACAGATACAAATATTTGGATATAACATTATGATATGGTCGAAGCTCAGAAACAAATATACTGAAAGTTAATTGTTTCAAGAATACAACTCAATTTCAATGCATATGTAAAAGTATCAAACATGTGTGGACTCAAAGGAAGGGTTGCCTAGTTGATAATCCCAGTTACAGGGAGTGTGATGATATCAGGTGTTTCTGAAGGAGGGCTTATGTTATTAGTGGCCAAGTAAGTGGTATGATATGACTTTGGATTTTGTTAAAATTCCAATAAACAAAAAAAAGGTTTTCTCAGAATTAAGAAAAAATAAAAATCAGTTCCAGATTGTCAAATCTTGGTTAATTAAAATGATAAACCTACATTAGCCATTCCTCAGAATTTATGGTATTTCAGTATGGCTACTGCGGACCCCATAGTGCCAAAAACATTGCTCCCCCAATTTGCTGTGACAAGCTGAAGATAATAAAACATGATGTGTAGAAAATGGGGGTAAATTGAAGATAAAGCAAGGAGATAATACAAGACAAGTTCAACTATTTTCAAAACAAGGTTGATGAATTTCTAAGCATTTGATACTCAACATCTAATGGCTACCAACAGAGATAATTGAAATGTTCCCTGATAAAGAAATAAAATAACCTTCACAATACAAGTCTACTGTTACCCTACGTGGTCTTACAGCAAAATATTTAATTTGGGTGCACAAACAGGGAATACAATATGGATTTTACCATCCTGTACTTGATAGTGGGGAATTTAGTGGCATAAGCTTAGTCTTAATTAATTTTCAACTGATGAGATATCTTCAATGTGCACACAGTTCAACAGGAATAATGCAAGGTTCATTAAAATGCCTGCAGGAAATAGTGAAAGTAACAAGATCTTGCAGTTATATAATTATAGTTTCTGGACTATTTTCACTTTTTTTTAGCTGAAGTCTAAATATATCATAACAGTTGTTTCAAGTTCCAAAATATCCCTTGTACCAAATAAGGTGTTGATTTGAAATTTTTTAAATGAGCAGCCATTCTTGGTGGATGTCAAACAATTTTTCAGTAGTCTTGATCTGTAAGTAAGAAGCTGTCTTTCTGAATGTCTTTATGAATAGAAGAAGCTGTCTTTATGAATAGAAGAAGCTGTCTATATGAATGGAAGAAGCTGTCTTTATGAATGGAAGCAGCTGTCTTTATGAATGGAAGAAGCTGTCTAGAAGCTGTCTTTATGAATGGAAGAAGCTGTCTTTATGAATGGAAGCAGCTGTCTTTTTGAATGGAAGAAGCTGTTTTTATGAATGGAAGAAGCTGTCTTTATGAATGGAAGCAGCTGTCTTTATGAATGGAAGAAGCTGTCTTTATGAATGGAAGCAGCTGTCTTTATGAATGGAAGCAGCTGTCTTTATGAATGGAAGAAGCTGTCTTTATGAATGGAAGCAGCTGTCTTTATGAATGGAAGAAGCTGTCTTTTTGAATGGAAGAAGCTGTCTTTATGAATAGAAGAAGCTGTCTTTAAGAATGAAAGCAGCTGTCTTTATGAATGGAAGAAGCTGTATTTAAGTTATGAATGAAAGAAGCTGTCTTTAAGAATCGTAGAAGTAGTCAGTGTAAATGTAACAGCTTCATGATTACAGTCATTATTGTTTCTGCTACAGTAAAAGAAATACATGACAGTATTATTATGGTTAAGTGATGTTGTGCATCATGTTATTGTGATTTAAAGATAGTATTGAATTCAAGGCTAGTGTAATAAGAGTAATTTACTTGTCAAGGTTTATCAGGTATTATACGGTAATTACTGTTATTAAACAATATTGTTTTCTATTGTCATATTATCACCCAGATTAATTCTTCTCTCTTTACCAGTCACTCTAATAATAGTCTTCTTCACTTATTGTGTCTCTCTGCTCTCTGTCATTTGTCATTTTTTATTCATTGTCAGTATTGCTTTACACCAGTAGGAAAGATGTTCAAGATAACTTGAGAAAGGTCTCTTTGAGGTCTCTTTAAGGTTCAAGTTTGTGAAAATTCTTGTTAATATTTGTTAAAGATGAGATAAGCTACTGAACTTTATTAAGCTGCTTTAAAATGGAGTTGAAATAAGTATACTTTGTTTTGCTTTTAAATTTAAGCATTTGGATATTTGTGTATGAAACCTTTAAAGGAATACTACCTCTTAGAATGAACAGACAATTTAAATTCTGATTTGCAATAATTATTTGTAGTGTCAGTGTTGAAATACACTTTATAGCTAGGTTGAAATGAAAATTTTATGTTCATTCTAAGAGTTAGTATTTATTTTATTTATTAGGGAGAAGTGTTATTTTGGGGGGTTGATATTAGTCTTGTATATATGTAAATAGTCTTCAGAAGTATTAGAAATGTACGAAAATCACAAAATTCCTCTAAAGATACATTGAAGTAGAAATTTTACTCACTATTTCTTTATAAGTCTTTTCTATATATCACAGAGTATCTTAAAGTAACAAGTCATCATTTTAAAATTCAATCACAGATAATTCTGGACACACATGGTTTTAAAGGCTCAAATTGCGACAGTGAGATGTGAATACTATTACTGATTAGCTCAGCTAAATAATACCCGTTTCTGAGACTATAGTTTGATTAGTCAAAAAAAATGGTGCATCCCTTTAAGATGTATCTATGAAAAGTGTAATTTAAGAATACCAAAGCTCACAGATCAAAGAGACTTATATTATTATATTGACTATGTGAGCCCTGACATCAAGTTCTAAAATAGTTAGATATTGCATCTGAAACTAGTTGAATGTGCTACTTTAAATAATTGAATTGTATTGCTAGCAGGTTTTGAGTCATTTTCGCGAAAACAAATAAATTCTCAATTAACCCGAGCCTGCGTAAATTTTGATTCAATATTATGACCCCACTCTCTTCGTGGCAAATTGGAATGACACAACACTTCACAATTGAAAGCAACATTTTATTACTTCCATTCTTTCAATTGACCAAATAACATTCATTTTCTTTTCCAAAGTACAAAAAACAACATCTTCTCGTGGAAATCATCATTTATTTTATTGGATAACTGGAAAAGACAAAGAGACCTGATGACAGGCTTGAAATATTTCATTTTCTTTTCCCTTTTGTTTGAATGAAATTACTTTATTGTCAAGACAGAAAAAAACAAACTCTTGAGTTAAAATAAACCTTGGGTTAAAGAGAGAAGACATCATTGATGTGAATCATGGAATTTATTAAACATTTGCTGCACTGTATAGAAATCAATGTGAACACCCCAAATTTATTCAGTGTTTGAAGGGAGAAAATAATACTGTACTATCACTTCTAAAGTTAAAAATCGGCAACAGTGCTGTTACCTATACCACCTGCACAAATTCCTCTGCTGCTCTTTTAGTACCAGAATTTTTTTTTTTACTTTTGATTGAGAGGGGTTAGTTAAATTGATGTCACAAAAGCAAAAATCAAGGGGAAATTGAGAAACAAATGGTTTTTAGTATTGGCACAAATTCCTCTGCTGCTCTTTTAGTACCAGAATTTTTTTTTACTTGTGATTGAGAGGGGTTAGTAAAATTGATGTCACAAAAGCAAAAATCAAGGGGAAATTGAGAAACAAATGGTTTTTAGTATTGGTTATCGTACCTTAATCCTGCCTCAACAGTAAAGACGCGTAAATTTGTCTTTCAAGCTTATAAAGTTGAAACAGGAGTGAGTCAAGTTTCTTTATAAAGTTCATTAGAGACTGGTATTGTAAAGGAATGTAGTATTGTGTGGACTAATAATCAGATAAAATTAAATTGGCTGTCAGGGAGGGATGGAAGGTCTTCAAGATAGGGCTAGATTGATAAGAAGTAACTGCATCATTCTTCACGTCTGCTTGGCTTAAAAGAATTGGTAGTTTGGTCTTTAAAAGGCCATCGTTCAAGAAGAAATAATGGAGGTATCATGATATCAGTGGAATCTTTCTGCCATTGTTTCTCAATCATTACCACCTCTCAACTTCCTCTACTCTCATTAACTTTTCAAATGATATGATGCACAATTCACATTTTCACCATTCCTAGAAATCGTATGGAAATGAGATCGTTAATTATAGTTGTAATCTTTTGTTTGGTTAGACATTCTTTCTCACTTCCTGTGTCTTGGAATTTCTTTAATCTTCAGGAATTTTACAATTTACTGCATTCATTAGCTCATTCAAGCATTGAATCAGAACATTGGTATTATGTCACTTCTGTATTGATCTCAAATTTCACAATCTTCTGTTGTATGTGGAATATTCTGGACAATGGAAGTGTCTATGAGGCTAACAAAATGAAGCTCTTTTAAAAATCAAGTGCAAGAGATATTCAAATTTTGTGTCAGATTTTTGTTTCCAATAGAAGCATTTGTTGACTTGATCATTTTTTTTTTGAAAATCAAATTTAAAATAAAAAGGAATGGTCATAAATTTCAAAACCATGTTTTAACAAATTCATCCACTCTCCAATTAACAATTTTTACAACTGTTTTATATTTTCTGTGAAACTGAAGAAGTACCGGTACCCATGTGTGAAAGCCACTCCCAATTCACTTATAAAAATATCTAATTATAAACCTTATCCATGCTCAAATTAAATTGGAAATTTACCAAATCTGTATTTGAAACACCATGTGCTGCAGATTTGAAGCTCCAATACGTTTGTGATTTACTCTTGTCTTGAAATCTGATCAAATTTCCCAAACTTGATTCCAATGGCTTGCTTTGGTGTATTTTATTGTAATTATATAAGCTTTGTTTATAGATATACTTCTACATTATTCTATAAATTGTATACTTTTATTAATCCCATATGTTCTATTACACCTACTTTCACCAATTTATAATTATTTTAAAACATACACATCTGTATTTTCTTGTCTTATTTATTTACCTTTGTCAAATTATGTTTTCTACATCCATTCTCCTTCAGATTTTAATTTATTCTTGTCTAAAAAAAAGAGTGTAATGAAAATGCCAAAATTAAGGCACTCTGTCTTGTTAAATTTTATTAAAAAAAATATTTTTTTTGTATTTTGTGTTTCAATAACTGAAGTGCATCTGTATTAAGTTTTTGTGTTGAAAAAAAAAGTCAAATGAATCCTGTCAAAAAGGCATGTAAAATTGTGTAAAAAAAATGTAATGAATATATTAATTGCTACATCTGCCATAACATACTAAATTTTTATTTCACAATAAAGTTACGAGCAAATATACACGCCTTGAATTATAAAAAAAAAAATTCTTAATGCCAACTTGGAAATTAAATGAATTTCATTTTAAAAAGAACTTGTACCCGACAGCATTGATTTTCACGTGATTCTTTGCTTAAATTTGAGATCCTAGATTAAAATAATGAGAAGAAGATGGCTGATAGTTCTATCCTGACACCTACTGTACAGAA